TTCCCAAGTCACGCTGTCCTAACCTCCACACTCGTCGTTTTTGTCTTCATATCCTATTAAAGGTACTCGCTATCCTTTGCTTGATTACACTTCAGCACACTTTGCTTTTATTACTAATCTCAGTCGCAGTGTGGAACCCAGTACCTATGCTGCAGCAACTTTTAATCCTAATTGGCGCCAGGCCATGTCTTCTGAACTTGATGCTTTGGAGTCTAATAATACTTGGACTCCCACCCCTCTTCCTGCTGGCAAGCATCCCATTGGTTGTCGTTGAGTCTACAAAATTAAACATAATTTTGATGGTTCTATTGAGTGGTACAAGGCGTGTCTCGTTGCTAAGGGCTACACTCAGATTGAAGAGGTTGATTTCCGCGTTACTTTTTCTCCCATAGCCAAGATGATCATTGTTTGTTGTCTTCTTGCTATTTTTGCTACCCACTCTTGGACTTTTCACCAAATGGATGTTCACAATGCATTCCCTTATGGTGATCTCCATGAAGAAATTTATATGACTCCATCGCCAAGTCTTTAGCACCAATGGGAGAACCTAGTATGTCGCCTCAACAAATCTTTGTATGGTCTCAAATAGACTTCCCGACAGTGGCTCGCTAAGTTTGCAGAAGCCATCCAAGCTGTCGGTTTCACTCAGTCTAAAGCAGACTATTCTTTATTCACCAACAAACGAGGGAAGTCTTTTGTTGCTCTCTTGATTTATGTTGATGATATACTGATTAGGGGAAATAGTTTTGCTGGCATCAATTCCCTTAAACGTTTCCTTCATACCCATTTTCGCATCAAGGATCTTGGGAACCTTAAGTTCTTTTTGGGTATTGAAATGTCACGTTCTAAGAAAGAGGTGAATCATTTGATGCCACACTTAATTTGGCAACATAAACTAACATTAACTTATGAAGAAGAAAAACAAGGTAAAAAGAAATAAAAAATCATTTTCAACACGCAATAACCAATTATATATTAACTTAACATATACGCATAGTCATGACGAAGACTTGGAAGAAGAAAAAGCAGCAACCAAGCGATGGAAATAAACTTGTTCTAAATTCGCTCAGATGCCTAACTACAATTTTGCAATATCTGGCAAAGTTTTCGCAATTGTTATTAACCAAGTTGTATTTACCAAATCCCTTCCCATGAACTTGATCTTTTTTGAAAATCTCACCACTCCTCGTTTAGTGTTTGGGTCATGCATATATATATATATATATATATATATATATAGGGTTGTATGGGGAGAATAAATCAACTGTTTTGGGAAGAATAAATCAACTTTGGAGAACTTGGCTTTTTTAGTGAAATGGCGAATTAGCTCATGGACTGAAACAGGCAGAATTTCATCAACTAG